AGGTCTGGGAAAAGTTCGGTGAGGCCATGGAGAGGGACTATTGGTCAGCCTTGAAGAAATTCTGGCAAACCGTCCGGCGCCTCAGGAGGGGGAAGGAGTGCCGTGCCAAAACTGTTTACAGTGGAGGTGGGCGGCTGTTGACCTCAACCGGGGTCATCGTCAGATGGTGGAAGGAATATTTCGAGGATCTCCTCATCCCCAGCATCACGTCTTCCGATGAGGAAGCAGAGGCTGGGGGCTTGGAGGTGGACTTGTCCATCACCCAAGCTGAAGTCAATGAGGTAGTTAAGAAGCTTCTCAGTGGCAAGGCACCGGGGGTGGATGAGATCTGCCCTGAGTACCTTAAGTCTCTGGATGTTGTTGGGCTGTCTTGTTTGACACGCCTCTGCAACGTTGCATGGTGGTTGGGGACAGTGCCTCTGGACTAGCAGACCGGGGTGGTGGTCCCTCTTTTCAAGAAGGGGGACCGGAGGGTGTGTTCCAACTATAGGGGGTTCACACTCCTCAGCCTCCCCGGGAAAGTCTATGCCAGGGTACTGGAGAGGAGAATTCGACCGAACCTCGGATTCAGGAGGAACAATGCGGTTTTTGTCCTGGCCACAGAACACTGGACCAGCTCTATACCCTCCTTAGGGTGGTGGGGGGTTCATGGGAGTTTACCCAACCAGCCCACATGTGTTTCATGGATCTGGAGAAGGCATTCGACCGTGTCCTTCACAATGCCCTGCGGGGGGTGCTCCGGGAGGATGGTACATGAAGGTTATACATTGTCTTCAGCTGTGTACAAATGGCAAATAGTAAAACTGTGAAACCCATAATTATTACCTAAAAGCCAACATTCATAAAAACAGACTTTCTAGAAAATAAGTGCCATGTAACAAAGTGAACACAAAGCATTTGTAAAAATTCTGTATCTGCATGACACAGCATTCTTTCAACTTGCCAGAGGATGTTGACATGTGTTTACATTAAAAAGCAAATAGCTGTCATGTACATGTGAGCCATTGTATTCTCATACAGACACCTGACATGCCTGACTTCCCTTGTATTGTCCTTTATCATATGACAAGGTGACTAAGGACCAGTAATGGCTCTGTGTTCTTTGCCTCAATTACAGCACATCTAAGTGCCCATCTGGAACCACTGAGGCTTTGAAGTGAATGTCAACAACATTTGTTTCTTATTCTATTAGTAAAATCTTCAAACTGTTCTCACAGGTTATGTTTTGTTTTTGATTCATTTCTTAATGGGTATAAACAAAACACACTGAAACATATTTATTTATTGTGTATATTGATCAGTCAACCCGTATGCTCCACCTTAAACACATCACAAAAGGTTCCTCCTTGGCCAGAGCTACTGTAGCTCGTGTTTTAATTGTAGTGATTTTCATATCAGATGCCTAAGCAAAGGAATCATTACAGTTCAGTGTATAAGATTTGATCTTATACACTGAGCCCTCCTGGGGAGGTGATCCGGGCATGTTCCACCGGGAGGAGGCCCTGGGGGAGACCTAGGACACGCTGGAGGGACTATGTCTCTCGGCTGGAGGAAGTGTCTGGAGAGAGGGAAGTCTGGGCATCTTTGCTTAGACTGCTGCCACTGTGACTCGGTTCCGGATAAGCAGAGGAAAATGGATGGATGGATGGATATTCATTTTGGAATTGAGGTGAAACCCTCTGATTGCTATACTAAACAATTTTTGTTGCCACTTGGCCAAATCATTTACTTACCAGATGCTCATTGTGTCAGTGACTTTCTCATCTCAACTGACACTAATGAAGTGTAGTGTTGCAAGTAATTCATCTCTAACTGATGTTAACTGTTTCATTGTGTCTCTTAATTGCAGCTCTTAATGCTCATTAATTTTCCAGAGTCCTTAGAAAAATGTTTAGCTCCTTTCTTTTTTTCCATCAGGCTTTCAGCATCAGCTTTCAACCAATGTGATCTTGCCTGACTTCTCTGGCATCATTCATAAGCAAGAAAGAAGACTGACAGCTTCATTTTGATACATCTTTACTTTTTCATAGTTTTTTCCTAAAACTTTCCAAGCCAAAGTAAACAACCAATGAGTCATCTTAGGGCATAAAATCTCTCATACTCTGAGTCAAGTCACTTACTGTACTCATTAATATTAATAGGTACCACTGTCCCCAAAAAGAGCTAAGCAAGAGAACAATTTTCTCTTATCTTAATTCTGCCGATTGGTGAAAAGTGAGATATAACTCTGAATGATGTAATGAGAGAATACAAGCCATCACTTCAAATGGAAACTCTCAAAATATGCATTCAGATGCTGAATGCCATTGTCATTCAAAGCAAATGCAGGAGTTTGTGTCTCTACTGGACACCCTTTTTTTCTCTGAATGATTTTGAGTTTCGATAGTACAGACTCTGCATCATACACCACTGAAAGACAAGAGGGTAAATAGAGCTTGACAACAAACCCGAGAAACAATAGTACTCTGAGAAGTAAGCCCAATCAATATAACAGTTTTCAAATTATAAGTTGTAGAGGAGGATCTGAAGACGGACCAAAACTTTCCTCTTTTAGGAGTGAGGGTGGGAATTTCAATATTAGTATTTGTAAGAGTGTAGTGGTTTTAAATGTGATAAAAATCAAGGTTTTTATCTTATGTGTGTGTACTTTTTTAAAGAACACAAAGGTTTCTCATCAACATTTCAACCCTTTTCAGTTTTTTTTCTGTTTTCTGTACTTTTGAGCCCTGTCCTTGTTGTTTCAGATCAGGAGCTCTTTCTCTGAAGTAATTGGTGTTAAAGTTGGGTTCCACCTATTCCAGCAGAGTCCATAATATGTGAGTAAGGCTGTACCTTGCAGATGTCACCCTAGTCACTGCTGGAATCATTTCCATTTTTACAGTCCTGCCGCAAAACTCATTTTTGGCTCCGTCCAGCCATGCATCGCTGGTCAGGTGCGCAGGCCATTTTTCACTTCATGCAGCTTGTATACTAGAGCAACCATATGGAAGGAGGGACCTGCTGCACCCACACTGGCACACCACTGAGGCCCTAATATTTCACTATCTCAAGGTCATACAATATTTATATTTTATCCAAGCTGTTTTTAAAAAGTTTAAATTAAATAAAGGTTTGAACAATGCCTCTATCAAGACAAAATAAATATACAAGTCTGTTTAATTTATTTTTCTCTGTTCTCCTAAAGAGGAGATTCCTCAAAGCATATGATTATTGTCACTCCTGTTCTGGATGAATCTGACATACTGCCTTTTGCTTCATTAGACTTTGACATCAATTAACAGTAATTTTCTCCCTTTGGAGTAAATCATGAATAAATAATGATGACTGTAACAAAAATGACATCAGTTTTCTTTTGTGAAGCATCTGAAACGTTAAGTGAACAAAAACACAATTCATCTGGTATATATTCCACCTACAAACATAATTTAGATGACAACAGGAGTAAAAAAAAATCCACACATTTTCAGTAGAACAAATGAATGCAAATCTTGAAAGTATCACAGCAACCAGAAGGGCTGAGCACCCTCTCACTGATATATCACTTTATTGTGTATCAGGAGGAATCATCTTTGCAAATCTAAAACCCATTTCCTTTCCTGGCTCTGCCTGCATGCTATCTGTCTAGCTGCCTTTTTTGTTTTCTTTTTTTAAAACTTCCCCTTTTGGTAAGGAAAATACTATTATACCAAGGCACGCACACCCTCCTTTGCCAGGTCCAATTTGCAAAAATTCATACTGGTTCTGCACATAGCTTCACAAGCTCCACAATTTCATGCACCAGAAAATGAGGACTATGGATATGCTAAAGGACCTATATCTACCAGCAAGATGATTCTCATTTCATCAAACTATTTTCATACAGAGCTACTAAGTGAGCAGCATCATGAGGAAGCCATTACATTATTCACCATGCCATCAAATTTCCAATGCTGGAAATTTGATGGCACCATCTAAAAATGATTACATCCAACTCCCAGAGGTTGCTGCGTGACAAAAACATCACTAAGCGTGATACTACTCAGGTCACAAGAACATCTATCATCTATCATTATCTAATTTACTGTCCACGCTGGAACACCAGAAGAACCGTCGAGCAGATTTTGTAAAAGAGTTTGTATCTCCGCGCTTAGATTAACATAATGCTCAATTTCTGAAACTAATTGTAATGTAGTGGAATGATGATGAAGTTGGTTTAGCTCTGTAGGATGATATCAGTGAGCTTATGCTCCTACCTGAGCTTTTATGCACTTCAGACGACTAAGACAAAGAATGAATCTGGAATAAAACGTAGCTAGCAAGAAAACAGAATGATTGGTTATATTAAACATAGACGAAATGTTTTTATAAGAAGTGCAAAACCCCTGCGTGATGGCGTCATCCGTCCACTACAGCCCCGCCTCCGCACCTCGCTGATGCTGATCCCCCCACCCCCCCACCCCCTGCATCAGCATCATTTCTGGTGAGAGAGAGAAACTACCCAGCCCCGCCAGAGCGTAGAGGCGTCAAACCGCCGCCTGAGCATCCCCGGTACGCACCGTTCAGAGGCCCCATCCTCGGACTGTAGCGCCAGATACAGCGGAAGAACAAGTGAGCACAGCCCGGCACACAGCCACAGCTTGAGTCAGTAATGGAGAGTCTGCTGGATAATCCAATGAAAGCCGTTCTCTACCTGAAGGAGCTCACCACTATCGTCCAGAACCAGCAAAGCCTGATCCAGACGCAGCGCCAGCGCATCGACGAACTCGAGCGAAAGGTGGAGGACCTGATCGGAGAGAACCGACAGTTGCGGGATCCCCACCACTACGTCCAGCAGCCCGCTCAACATCATCACCACCACCACCACCATCCGACTCACCGCAGCGCTAGTCCCCAGGCGACGGCCCATCTCCATCAGCCCCAGGGGAGCAACAAAGCTGCGGCTCACCTCGGTCAGCAGCATCCGCGCAGCAGCAGCAGCAGCAGCAGATCCCCAGTCTATCTAACCAGCCTCAGCAACACCCGACCGTCCCTGCGCCGTCCTCCCACCACCCGCAGCAGCTGCAGCTCGTCCCCACCTCGCCGCAGTCACCTAAAGCAAGTCACGGCATCCCGGACTCCGCCAAGGACGACAAGAGGAGCCCCTGCTGCAAGTCGCTGGTTCCGCAGACTCCCACCGCTCTCTGCCGCTCAGTTGGACTGGCTAGGAAAGCAGAGTAAGTAGCTTATATGCGGTGTCTACTGCAAAAAGGCAATCTCCATCTTAAGGAGAGATTTAAAATACATGATGAGATCTCATTTCACTGATTAAAAAATCTTCCTTTAATAAAACTAGCTTCAGTTCACAGGGTTTTTATCTTGATACAGTGCCATCATCTGCTTTTTTGAAATGACACTTTATTAAAATGCCAGAACCAGCACTGTGTGTAAAAAAAGAATAATATTATTTCACCTTGCTGCTAGGCTTCATGGTGTTGCTCAAAAAATGCACATAAATACTCAATATTACATTCAGTGACCCAGATAAGATGGATATTTTTGCAGTGTACTAGACTGACAGAATTTTGGACTCTAATACAGTAAATGTGGAAAACAGCCAGTGTCAAAGACTTTTATTATGCAAATGCATGAGACAATGAAAATATTTCTGAGGGAAGTTTTTGCAGGAGAAATACACAAAAATACACAAATTAGTCTGAAAATACAGTAAAAATTAAAATAAAAATACACAAACTGTGCCACACACAGTGCATGATCCCTGCATTGGATCATACACTATTTGCCTCTGATTAACTTTACATTTTCTGACAAGCTGAGACTGAATATTCTGACAGGTAATTCAAGCTCCTCTTTTATTTTCACATTATTCATTCATTTGGTGCTCTTAAATTGAATGCTTAATGGATTTTGATTGTGAGGACGGACCCATAGCCGGCGTTTTAACAGTGTTGGTTTGTTAATTTTGCACCAAAGTACATTGACGGTACTTGGTGGGGAAGACTAGAACCAAGGTTTGGTCAAATAACACAATCAGTGTTGTGGTTGACCTTGTCCTTTCTGAGTTGTTGCTCATTCCATTGAGGTGGTGGTGCTGTTTCCCTTTGTGGTCCCACATTTTGAATGTGGAATGAGCTGGGGTTTTTTTGTCTTTTTTTGTCTTTTTTTATGCAACTGTTTTTAGGCTTGGCAGAGGTAGCAGTCTCACATTTGCCAGGAGAGAGTGGTGACACTGTAAACATGGGTGTTTGTATGTGTGCATGCATATGTATTTATTATTCACCTCTGCTTGAAAGCTTTCAACATTTCCAGGCTTACAATGCTGAATCAAAGTAGATTTTCTTTTTCTTTTATTGACCCTGATTAACAAACAAAAAAAAGTTATTGTGAGTGAACAGCCTTTCACATCTTGAGTCTGGAAGATCTGGATCTCCTTGTACAGTCGCAGGAGAAAGTAATGGCACTGTTTCCTGGTTTTCTGCATAAACTGGCCACGAAGTGGTCATGATGTGATATTGACAAATATCAGTATCAACAAACACAATATAATAAAACACAAACAGTGCAGATCTTTCGTGTCTTTATTGAGCACACCCATTAAACATGCAAAAATAATCTCAAGCAAGCGCTTCCTGTACCTGTGGATAAGACCTGCACAATGTTCAGGAGGAATTTTGTAGATTTACTTCGATGTTTAGGGTCACTGGCCTGCTGCATTACCCAGCTTGTTCTAAGCACCAGCTTGCGGATAGCCACCATGACATTATCCTGTAGGATATCTTGATAAACTTGGGAATTCATTTTCCTCTCCACAATGGCAAGTGGTCCAGGTCCAGAGGCAGCAAAGCAGCCCCACATCTTGATGCTCCCTCCACCATACTTCACAGTTTGGATGATGTTTTCACATTGGTATGCAGTTCTCTTTTCATGCTACATGTAGTGCTGTGAGTTCCTCCCAGACAATTCTACCTTTGTTTCATCTGTCCACAGGACATTTTCCCAGTAGTGTTGTGGGGTGTCATGGTGGTCTTTGGCAAAATTCAGGCATGCTGCAATGTTGTTTTTGGGGAGCAGTGACTTCCTTCATGGTGTCCTGCCTGTTCCATATTTTGCATATGGTTGACTAATGATCAGAGATGTTAACCAACTCCAATGAATCCTTCATGTCTTTAGCTGTTACTCTAGGGCTCTTTTTTTTTTTTTTTACCTCAGTGAGCATTCTTGCATTGTACCTTTGGAGTGATGTTGGCTGGGTGCCCACTTCTATGGAGAGTAGCCACAGTACCAAATTGTAGACAGTATGTCTGATGCATATCTAAAGTCTTTGCAAATCACCAACTCTGGATCGTAGGTCTGAGATCTCCTTTTTTGGGAGACATGGCTCACAACAGCTGATTTGGAATAGCACACTGATGTTGTTTGAGTCAAGGTAGTTCTAAACCACATCTCCATTCTGGTTTCATTGACCAAACTCCAGGTTTGTTAACACCTGACTCCAGTTGACGTTTAGTGACATCAGAAACCTGGTGTTGCCATTACTTTTTCCACCATTACTTTGTATGTTTAATGGGAACGTTCAATAAAGACATGAAAGGTCATAACTGTTTGTGTGTTATCAGCTTAGAAATATTGTGTTTGTTGATATTTGTAACTTTGGTGATGATCAGATCATATTTCATGACCAATTTATGCAGAAAACCAGAAAATTGCAAACAGTCCCATTACATTTTCCTGCATCTGTACTTCTCTGCATTCACATGCCATCACAAGCCTTCCAGTTCCTGCAGCAGAGAAGCATCCCTAGAGTGTTTTTGATCATTGTCAAACAAATGAACAAACAAACAAACACATTAACTCATCTTTATGGAGATAAAATACTATCAAAAATGTTACAAATGCATGTTTAACGTTTTGTCTGTAACAAGCGATTTGTGTGTGTGTGTCATGAGGATCACAAATGCGTACTGTACAAACTGCACATAAAACACATTTTACAAATGCTTAAAATCGATTTTTCGTGTGCAGTTCTTTAGAAAGTACGTACACATTGTTACCTACGCATGCTGTGGATCGTCTAACACACACAAATCACCTTCCGCGCACACACGGATTTTTGAGAGTGTTTTTCCGCAATCTCAAAAATACACAATCCACGAATGCACGGTGCGTTTAAGGACACGTGGAAAACTTGGACATCTGATTTTCCAAACCTGTTTCCCAAACAAAAGTATTTACACAACGCTATTTCAAATGGCCCCTCCTTGAACCGCCACCTTATTGTGGTGGAGGGGTTTGAGTACCCGAGTAATCCTAGGAGCTATGTTGTCGGGGGCTATATGTCCCTGGTAGGGTCTCCCAAGGCAAACAGGTCCTGTGTGCTGGGTCAGACTAAGATCTGTTCAAAAGCCCTTTATGAATAGATTAAAATCA